TTACCACGGTAAGGAATATCTTCATTCCTGTTGACCTTGAGAAATTACCGCCAATCGGAAAAAAGGGAAACTTTTAAGAATAAAAAAGATTAAGGAGACGATTGTAGTATCAATAGCCCTAAAAGTCAAAATAGTAAGGCATTGTTCGCGCTGTAATACAAACTTGAATGTCTAGCACGGAAACGGGGAAGGGGAAGGTCTTTTATGCAAGTTTGTTTGTGTATCTGTTTAAAAGGCCGTGATATGTGATTTGATATTCTTTGGAGACATCAGTTAAACCCAATGATTACCGAAAGAGTTATTAGAGTGATAAAGCAGAAGGAAAGTAAATGAGCTTCAGTAGTCACCGAGGAATCAAAAGGAGATATCCACGAAGACTAGACAATAGCCAAATGCAAAATTTGGGCCTTTCAAACCTCAGCAGATGCACCATCGAGGTATCTTTAAAGCTCAATGCTAAATTCCGTTTGTTGTTATTCTTAGTGACCTTGTGATTTCGCTTAATTACCGTTTTGAGAACGAAAAATTTCGACCAAAAAAAGGCTCTTGTGTACTCCAACCTAATTTATTTGGTGGTGGCTAGTGACTTGCTCAAAATCTGAGCCTGTAAGCTACATTGGCAGTTAATCCTCCTTGTCACGCCAACGATTTAGATATTCTTCGTTAGATATTACGTAAATTACATTACGTTTTTGAGTTGGTCTTAATTTCGTTTTTCGTATGCTTCAATTTTCTTATCAGTTTAAAGGAAACCCAACCTTTCAGGACCCTTCCTTGCAATTTTTTTTTTCACCAACAGTATGCGCAAAATGCTCACATGAAGCGCCGTTATAAGGGGCACAAACTTGAAATGAGTGTTGTTTGAATAAACATCACCTCGTTGGAATGTGCGCGCAATCGCTATTTGAGTTTGCTCTAAGATCTATTTTGCTTTGAGGGGCTGTTCTTGAAGGATATGTTTTAAAACGTCTTTCGATGGCTTTAAACAAGCTTTACACCTAATCTATATGAAAAATGAAACTAAGTATTCGAATTGAATCCTTGTTCATAACAAAGCTGTCGGTTGTAGAGAAAATGGAAGTTAAGACCCAAGACCTAAGAAACCATATTTAATTTATTTTTTGATGGCAACGAGAGAGGTACGGAAGCCGAAAATGGACAATCCAAAATATTTTGCAAATCCGAAAAAATATTCAAAATCGATATCTTTTAGACAAATCGCTTTTGAAAAGTTTGTCAAATCGACAAAACAAATTCAAATCCGTGACTTTCTACTCATTTACCGAGCTTTAAGACTCTAGACCTTGCAGACCTTTACTTCTTTAATCCTCTAGAAAGACTTGGGATTTCCGGTTGAAATTCTCCACTCCAATTCTCTTCCTTTTCCAATTTGAAGAACTAATTCTCAAGAGTTCAATTCCCACGGGGGAAAGAAGTTGAAGTTTCGAATTGGTCAATGCATAAGCATGACATTTGTCTCAGTACCTAGTACTGAGACAAATGTCAGCCCTCTGTAATTGAATTTCACTTCTCAAAGACGCATCAACAACGTTTAAGCCCCATAAATGAGGCTTTATGTCTCGAGTACATCGTAAAAGGGATATGCACTCGCTCTACTGCACGGTATGTCCGAAACTATCCTAGAGCATTCTCTTCATGCAAAAGAACTGGAAAATAAACTGAATTAAAAGGGAAGTTAATCAAAGACATAGTAAGTTTGGCTTTCTGTTAAAAACGAGAACTTTTCCAATATTTTACCTCAATGAAACCGGCATCTCAGTGTTCACTACAAAACCAAAACAAAATTCAATATTTGAACTTGTTGTGGGCAAAACTGTCAAAGAAGTATGAAGAAGAGTGAAATGATAAAAAAAACGACGAACCTTATCTAAACAGGATCACCAAATAAAGCAGTAAATTTCCACTTTTAGGCTGCGTTCCTTTGGGAGAATCCGGATCAGGATTTCTGATCTGTGGCGTTTCTTTCGAGCAAATCCATTTTCAGATTAGTGATCTATCAAATCCACTCTGGACAAGGATTCATTGGATCACTGATCCAACGCGTTCCTTTGGGCGGAGGATCCGAAATTAATCATTTCGCTCAGCGGTGCTCAATTTCAAACAAGTAGGTACTTCATATATTGACCGGGAAGATGGTTGGCAATCGCTCCACAAATTCCGCGATAAACACAAAATAAAATCGATTTTGTAATTTTAAATCGATCGGCCACTGATCGCAGGCATTCAGGGTTCCCAAGTATCCATATCTTAATTAATACTTGCGTCTGTTTTGATACCATCGTTTGAGTTTACCATGAAAAAATGAGCCTCTAATGAATAGTGCGTGCTAAAAGCCCGTGCAGTTAGACGAGCCATTTAGGGAAGAGTTCAATAACCCATGTGCATACTCCCAAAGGAACGCACCCTAAAACTCCGTTCCTTTCATGCACCGTGATCTGTGTGATCTTGGATCATAAATCCAAATCCGAATCCTCCCAAAGGAACGCACCCTTAGACTCAAGAATAAACTTGATTGCTTATGCATTCTCACGGGTTCAAGTTGATGTCTATCTCAAACAACATTCCGTTTCGTGTGTGTGGCCACTGCCAGAGTGTATCACGTTGGTATTTAAGACTTACTTTTTATATAAATGAAAATTACTCTAACTGAATTGCCAAAGGTTGGGGTTTTTCTTTAATGCAAACTTGAGAAAATTGTAAACTGACTCCTTTTGCAAAACATGACAAATTTGCATATCATTTACGAAACCGGTTGCGCGACCTGTAACTACTACATCATTAATCTTAAGTTTGCAGTGATTTAATTCAAATAAATGGCCAAATTCTTTTACCAGTAGTATGTAAGAATTGATGAGAATGTTTCTTTCACAAAATCCTTTGTTCTCAAAACGGTAAGTGAATTAAACTCTGAGGGTAACTGAGCGTGGCATGTTTAATTCAATTACTTACCTTAAATCGTACCGTTGCAACAATTTTGCTTGAACATCATCACATTTATGTTAAGTCAAAAGATATTTCCATACTATTAGGAAACTTTCCGGATGATAAATGTACTTTAACCGTTTTCTTCTGATCGTAAATTGATTTAAGAGCTTTTAGGGCCAGATCCCAAACATAGCCAGGTCATTACGGGTTGATAATTTTTTTTCCTTGACCAATTCATTTCCCCTATTTTTTTTGTTCACGAAATATGTTTATCTATGAACAAACGTTCTTCACAGTAAATGATAACTCCTGGATTGAGGTAACACTGGAGATATTCGGTTACTAAATTAGGGTAAATTTTTCCTTGTTCAATGGGGCCTAAAGCGACCTTAGAACGTCGGGATCACATATTGTTAAAACCAGACATTTGCCATGTTTTTTTTAAATAAATGTTAAGGGGAAGGGAAGATCGTTTCACGGATATCACGAGATTTTGAGACGAGTTGAATTCAAAAGATCACCTTCGATCCGCCATATTGGCGGGAAAGTATGGGCATACCAAGTGCACTTTCCTGTTTTTTTGGCGAGAAAAAATAGCTGGAACCTTTTAATATCCATTTCGTGATTAGAACCAAAACGTATGATGAAAATGAAGAGGCCGACGAAAGTTCGAAAGTTACAGACTATCGCAGTTAAGAACGAGTCTCTGTAAGAATCAAACAACTTGGGAAATGAAAATTTTCAACTACCCTTCAAGTTTTCCATGCAGTTAGGTACCCGGGGGGAAGCACAAAAATGGCAACATTTTTGTTGCCATGGTAACGATGGATGATTGTTCTTGGCCGAAGGCTGTACTTACAAACATGATCAATGTCTCACAGGAAACTATCGCTTCTAGCCGTAATTTTACATCAGTCAAAATAAAGCTTACCGTGAACTCTCAGTCTCATTATTAGGCTTATTGCATGGGTTCCTTTCTGCAAGGAATCATCATTGAAATGAGCTTCAAAGGAAGTTATATTTTCCTCGGGCTATGGATTCGCTAGTGTTCATCGTCAGAGGTTACTGACTTGCTAAAAACATCAAATTCAGCCGACAATTCCACCTAAAAGTGACAGCTATTTCAACAATGAGCCAACGACCAAGCATGAAATGTTTAGGAGCATTTCATAGTAGGTTTCCCACCCCAGATATTATCTCGAAAGATAAAAACTAAGTTCTGGTAAGTAACAGAACGAAAAAGCAAAAATCACCTTCTTTAAAGGGGCGATTGACCCTGAAATCCACTCACCCTAGACAAAAGTAGAAACTACGTTTGTTCAGCGGTTTCGATTTAGGGAGTATGTTTTTCACTAGGGACTCACTGCTGTCTCTTCATTTGTTTTGACCATTTGCCACTGTAGTTCTTTAAGCAAAATATTGCCGCTTTTATTCTTTTTTGCCTTAATGTATTTGATAAGACTATCTTTAGTAACAAGCCTATATTACAATCGACACAACATATGCTCCACGACCATGTACACGACGGTAGTAATACCTTTACTTTGAGTTGCAACTCTTACGTAGCCTTGCGGGGTAAGCTGTTGACAAAAGAAACAACACAGTCAACATAAGACGCCTTTCGCTGTCCTGAGACTTGCAAGTCGAATTCTTCAGAGATTGCCTTGAGCGTTGTCAAGTGTAGCATGGACAGTTCAACCTTCGACATCTCATATATTTTGAACTCCTTGAACACGATTGGATGATCGAACTTAATTGATTCTTACTGTGGGGCAATTATGACATCTTCGGTAACCTCCCTTACAGCATTCTCTAATTGAACTGCGTCAATTTCCGATTCACTGAGCTGCCTTCGTTTGGCCGCAAAGCGAGAAAAGTACGAGTTAATTTGTTGCGGGGTCAAGAATTCTTCTATTGAAAACAGCCGCTTATGAAAAATTGAATGTACCACAATAAAGATGAAAAATATAACTAAGTGTGCTGTAAGTATTAAGTTGTATCGTTTAAATGGACGTGAGATTGAGAGATTTACATTTTAGGCAAATTTTTGTTTGTAAGTACGGCCTTCCACCAATAACAATAATTCATTGTTAACATGGCAACAAAAATGTTGCAACCTCTAAAAAAGGCATTTTTGTGCATTCCCCCGGGGTACCTAACTGCATGCAAAATTTGAAGGGTGGTTGAAAATTTCCATTTCCCAAGTTGCTTGATTCTTACAGACACTCGTTCTTAAATATTTGTTAGATTGAAATGCGTCCAAGCAAATCATCTGCATATACGTACATAACACCTTTATTTATATACTATGAAAACCAAAGCTACGACCTTGTGGGGTTTGTGTACAAAAACTTGAAATGGATTGAAACTATCAATTATTAACAAATTAAAACTAATAAGAACTAATTTTCCACTAGGTCTTAGCTGATAGAGAGGTTGGTATAGTTAAATAGGTGAGAGGTCTAGCCATCCCACTACTGTAAGAGGTATTCTGACTTGTGTAGCATGAAGCGTTTGTCATCTTTTTATAGCTGTTGACACAATCCGCCTGATGGAAGGCAGCTCACCATTGATTGGAAGGGTTGAGGTTTTCCATAGCGGCCAATGGGGAACAATTTGCGACGACAGGTGGGACATAAACGATGCTAATGTAGTTTGCAGACAACTCGGTCTCCCTCCAGCCACCCAGGCCTTTAGAGGGGCTACGCATGGACAAGGTTCTGGTCAAATATGGATTGATGATATTCTTTGCTCAGGATACGAGTTACACGTAGACGAGTGCAACCATGGTGGATGGGGAAATCATAATTGTGTACACTACGAAGACGCCAGCGTAGAGTGCTCCTCTATAATCTCTTGATCGGGTGAATTTTTTTGTAATTTGCGGCTTGAATTGCTCACCCGCATGTCACTGAAGGACAAAGAAGCAGAGTTTTCAAAGTTTCTTGAATTTTTTTCAGCTCTTTCGATGGATAGTTACGGAAAAGCATGCTGAAGAGCCTAACCCAACAACATTCTTCGCACTTTTCCCTAAATTTAAACTTTATTGTTGAGGTGTGCCAACTTAGTGATTGTTTTGTTTTGCTTTTTTTTTTTTTTTTCGACTTTGGAAATGACTGATTCAGTACAAGTCGTTTCGGAAAGGCTCTTTTAAAAAGGATTTTTTCATTTGAATCTTTTCTCTTTTTGGGGAAAGGGAGGGGAGGGTGTATGCTATTCTCTGAAATTCTTCTTCATCCTTTTCGATTTCCATCAAATAGTTATTTTTTCAAATGATAAAGAAATACAAAGTCTGGCTGCTACGTTATATCACTAAAATATGGGCATGGATTTGGAATCCAACGCTTGATTTTTGCATGTCGAATACAAATGTTTCGAAATTAATAGCAAGTAGTTTGCTACGGTGAATAAATGCATGCACCAAGTTTAGACTAGACGCGATATTCAAATAATTACGATATCATTGTTAAAAATTTCGAGATAGTTCTTCGGGGGTATCGATGGGATGATGACTTTTACGGCTAACGACTAAAGTCAATTTCTTACCGGTGTAGTCATCAGAAACATTTTAAAGGTTAATGTTTTCACAACCAGGGGTAAAAAGATTTTTCATGCCGTTTTAACAGTTATCTCCACTGAGGCCTTCTTCTTCAGGCTCCGGTTACCGCCATCAAATCAGAAATTAGAATTGTCTAGTCCTTGTGTTAATCGTGATCATGAATGACAGTGTTGATATGTCGACAGTTTTAAGAGACCAAAAGGATCAGGTAAAAAAATAACATCATCGACCCACGAAAATTGAACGCCAGAGGACATTGTAGAGTTTTAAACAGTTTGCAAAGTCTGAATTTTAAATCATTTTATCAGCGTGGTCTTGGTCTTCCAGTGGCTCGTAATTAATCAAGCTTTTGAAAGATATCTCAAGGATAAAAAAAGTTTGGGACTTGATAAAGAAACATGTTTGGCTTATTATGACGGTAGATGTAGTTGACATCAACGTGGAAGGCAGTCACGAATTAAACTTTTGATCTTTGGTACAAATAAATCATAACAGTAAAATTTGATTTTGTCACTGTCATACCAAAGTCAGTTCACGGACCGGAGCTATTTTCCTTTCATTGCTACGTGCTTGGTTAAGCTTAGTTAACCCTTCCACTTCAAGGGGTAATTAACATGTAACATTTCCCTATGATATCTCTACACGCAGACAAGTGATGGGAAAACCAAAAAAACACCGAGTTTTTGCTAGTTTACCATGCAAACATTAACCAATGTTGAACTCTCGAAAGCTTAAACTTAATTGCTGAACATTCAAAATGAAGCTTTTAAAAACAAAACTAAAAGAATGAAAGAATGCGAGAACAAAAGTGATAATGTTTATTCAAAACAAAAAATGTAACTGTAAATGTAGGAAGTAACGTATGTGGGAAAGTGGAGGCAACAGATAAAGAATAACAGATGGAAAAAAAAAACCGAAAAGAAAAATTGCATTGAAGCTGGTAAAAACAAGAAAAAAAAAATTGTGCGGAAAAAAAATCTAACAGAATTTGAATTATCGTGAATGAAAATAGTACCAGGACATAACGTTTATTCAAAACAAAAATATCACTGAGAATGTAGGAAATAATGTATGTGGGAAAGCGGAGTTAACAGATAGAGATGGCAGATGGAAAAAGACAGGAAAAAAACATCATAATTTATTTTAGGTAGGATGCAAAACAATATACTATCAGTTTACCTTATAAGGGAAGTAAACATACCCCTCTTTTACCTAGGCAGCGCGATTTTAATCAGTGGATTGTTGTCAAATATCATTCAAACATCACAAAGGTTCCCTTTGGCCGGGTTTTGAAGACATGGGACTTTGGCTCTATATGTTTTTCGTCTCTCTGGTTTTTAACCTTGAACAAAATTTATCCTGCATGGATGGTAAGATTACTTTCTTGCTTTAAGAAATTGGATAAACCTTTTTTCTGTCTATATTATTAAATCATCCTCAGCATTTTACTAAAACTGGAATGCATCATTTCAGAGACTTAAAACTGAAGGCTTAATTGATGGAGCCCTCAAACTACTTGCAGAATTTAAATGCTTTGTTACTTTTTAGTCTTTTTTTGTTGTTTATGAGGGAAAATTCTCTCCTTATTCACTTCTTTTGTCCTTCTAAGAAATTTGTGGAGAGGAGAGTACCACACTCGTCACTGCGGTAACTCAGTTTACCATATTTTCGTTGCAAAAAAAAGTCCAACAGAGCTCTCGTAATGTCTTTCAAGAGACACGAGTTTCGCAATTTAAGATCCATTGATATTTCAATGGGCCAGACAGAATCAAGAAATAACAACATCTTACATAATCAGTGGAAATAGTTTTGCATTGGCTATTTGACCGAACTTCCATCGCAATAATTTTTTCGCGTCATCTGTCGTGTTGATTAAAACTCGGCATTCGAATCTTTTCTTCCGTGTTTGTAGGACCTCGCTTTGTTCTGTGGTCTGCACAAAATGGAGCTGACGAGTCAATTTTCCAGATTAAAGAAATAAACCCAAAAATATTTTTACAGTGTAGACAAAGAAAATACTTCAAGTATGAAAATAACATAATATTGACTAAGCAGGGAAATCTTTCTAGTCGAAAAGTGGGTAGGATATTCGCGATAATTATTGTAATATTATTGATCATCGAGTTAATGTGTATTTTTATCTTCCAATATTTAAAAAAAGGTCTTAACTTCAATAGAGTTTTTTTTAAGGCTTTTTGTAATATCGTTATTGAAACTGTACGTTCCCAACAAACAAATTGATTAATTGAGCAAAAGTATAATTTGAAGGCGAGAATGCGACGCGACCAAAGAGGCCGCATGGGGAGTCCGTGTCGGTCTGTCTTTACCTTTA